TAAAAAGAAAAAAGCCGGAGGTGGCACTGTGGCTCAAGTGGTAGAGCGCTAGCCTTGAGCTGAAGAGCTGAGGGACAGCGCCCAGGCCCAGAGCTCAGGCCCCACAACCGGACCCAAAAACAAACAAACAAAAAAAAAAGAAAGAAAGTGAGGCCTAGCTGGAGGAAGTAGGTCACTGGGACTGTGCTACTGAAGGCTACACTTGCTCCCCTATCCCTTCCTCACTGTCAGCTTCCCATCCAGTATTAGGAAAACAGCCTCCTTCTCTTCATACTCCTGCTGCAATGATGTTCTGTTCATCAAGGGCCCAGAACCAACAAAGCCAACAACTATGGATTTAGCTCTCTGAAAGTATAAGCAAAATAAATCCTTCCACCTTTTAAGTTGTTTATGTCAGGCATTTAGTCAAAGCAATGAGAAAGTTAACTAATTTATGTCAGGCATTCAGTCAAAGCAATGAGAAAGTTAATTAATGAATAATATAAATGTCCATTAATGGGTTACATTGTGGTATATGTATACAATGTTATATTATTCCACCATAAAATGGAGTGAATGGGGCTGGAAATGTTAGCTCAGTAGTAGAACACTTACTAAGCATATGAGAGTCTGTGGGTTTAATTCCAGGAGCTACACACACCCACACACAAAAATACTAAGTAGTAATATATGATAAACATGGATAAAACACTATACTAAAGCTTAGAAGCCATGTACTATATAGTAAATAAATCCACAGAAATAGAGCAGACTGGTGGTTACCAGGGGAACCGATAAGAAATGCAGAGCAATCTACTTAAAGCGCACAGAGTTTTCTTTTAGGGTGTTGAAAGCCTTTTGGAAGTAAATTGAGATGGTGATTGCACAATGAAGTCATCATATTAAATGCTACTGAATTGTTCACTTTAAAATGGTAAATTTTACTAGCAGAAAGTGGTAGGGCACACCTGTAATTCCAGGACTCAAGAAGCTGAGGCAGGGCTGGGAAGGTGGCTCAGTGGTAGAGCGCTTGCCTTGCATGCGTGAGGCCCTGGGTTGGATTCCTCAGCACCATATAAGCAGAAAAAAAAAAGCCAGAAGTGGCACTGTGGCTCAAGTGGTAGAGTGCTAGCCTTTAGCTGAAGAGCGAGGGACAGCACCCAGGCCCAGAGTTCAGGCCTACAACCGAACCAAAAAACAAAAACAAAAAAAAGAAAAGAAAAAAGAAGCTGAGGCAGTAGGATCTTGAATTAAAGGCCAAACTCGGCTACATAGCAAGTTTGAGGCCTGCCCGCCCAAGACTTTGTTTTGAGAAACAATAAAAGTTAGTTTTCTGTTCTGTTATTTGAACTTTACTTGAAGAAAGAAGAAGAAAGAAAAAAGAATGAGAGAGAGGAAGGAAGGAAGGGAGGAAGGAATGAAGGAAGAAAAGAAGGAAGGAAGGGAGGGAGTGAGGAAGGGAGGGAGGAAGGAAAGAAAGAAAGAAGAAAAAGAAAGGAAGGAAGGAAGGGAAAGAATGAATGAAGGGAGGGAGGGAGGCAGGAAGGAAGGAAGGGGAATGGGAGGGGAAGAAAAGGGGAGAGGAGGGAAGAGAAAAATGAAAAGGGAAAAAATTATAAACACAACTCTATTGAGATACAACTTACTCTAAACTTAAAGTGTATGATTCTACTGTTTTTAATGTAGTCAGAGTTGACAATCACCATCACTAACAATTTTGGAATATTTTTCTCTCTCCAAAAAGAAACATTATGTCCATTAGCACACAGTAACTTCCCATTCCCTCCTCCTCCACAGCTCTCGTCAAGCACTAATCTTTCTCTATAGACTTGCCTATTCTGGTCATGACACAGAAATGGAATTATTTGTTATATGTCTATATTTTCAAGGAACCTCATTTACTTTTACTAGAAAGTCTGTGCCATGTAGAAAAATATAAGAAGAAATGGAGAATTCTAAAGGGCTGCTTATGAAAACAATAGTGGCAAGTATATAATACACCCAAAAAAGTGAAAAAAGTAAAAAGTACTTAAAATTGTGGCATGATATACTCTCAAGGAAAAAAAAGCATATTTGAAAACTGAACAAAAGTCTGATGTTGGAAGAAAGTTATAAACGTAAAAATATGTAATGAAGACTAGTCAGGGTACGATTTGTAAGGCACTTTTTTTCTTTTTTTGGCCGGGGGTGGGGGGGTGCGGTATGTACCAGTACTGGGACTTGAACTCAAATTCTTGCACTCTTGCTTGGCTTTTTCATGCATAGCTGGCAATTTACCTACTGGAGCCATGCCTCCAGTTCTGGCTTTTTTGCTGGTTAACTGGAGAAAAGAGGCCCTCCAATTTGTCTTCCTGGGCTGGCTTCAAACCATGGTCCTCAGATCTCAACCTCTTGAGTAGCTAGGATGAGTAGCACTCTTACGCTGTTAAGTGTCATGGTATGAAGAGTATATATAGTTGAATACACAGCAGATGATCAGATGTTTTTTAATGAAGTTGACTATATGGCTAGAATCATATTTAATAACTTCCATCCTAAACTTTATTATCCTAAACAAAATCAAACTTTTTGGTGTGGCAATCTTTATATGAACAGCAGCATAAATTGCCAGATATTATGACTAATGCTGATGTGCAACTCCAGGGTCAGGGCACTTACTTTCAAACTATTTTCATCTTTTTTCTTTTTTTTTTGGTTGGTTGTGGGTCTTGAACTCTGGGCCTGGGTGCTGTCCCTTAGCTCTTCAGCTCAAAGCTAGTGCTCTACACCTGAGCCAAGGCGGCACTTCTGGTTTTCTGGTGGTTAATTGGAGATAAGAGTCTCACAGACAATCCTGCCTGGGTTGGCTTTGAACTGTGATCCTCAGAGCAGCCTCCTGCGTAGCTAGGATTACAGGTGTGAACCATTCACACCCAGCAGTTCATCTATTTTTATGGGCAAATAGGCTAAAGTTAAAGCCGGGCACAGGTAGCTCATGCCTGTAATCCTAACTACTCAGGAGGTTGAGATCTGAGGATTGTGGTTCAAAGCCAGCCCAGGCAGGAAACTCCATCAGACAGCTCTAATAAGCCACTAGAAAACTGGAAGTGGTGCCGTGGCTCAAGTGGTAGAGCACTTGCCTTGAGCTGAAGAGTGCAGGGACAGCACCCAGGCCCAGAGTTCAAGCCCCATGACTGACAAAAAAAAACACTAGTTAAATTTTCCAAGACATTGCATAACGGATCTCATTTTCCCTGAAAACCATTAAAATATTTACAGAAAGATAGACTTTATTATTCTAACTGTAAGCAAAGATTCCTGAAGTGCTTAAGTATTAAGTTCTAACTCATAATTTTGCCTCAGTGAGAAAAGACAACTTTGAATTAGCAAGGATAAAGAATGGAATTTTAAGCCTGGCTCCAGTGGCTCATGCCTGTAATCCTAGCTACTCAGGAGGCTGAGATCTGAGGATCACGGTTCAAAGCCAGCCGAGGCATGAAAAGACTGTGAAACTCTTATCTCCAATAAACCACCAGAAAACCCGAACTGGAGCTGTGGCTCAAGTGATAGCGCACTTTCCTTGAGCTGGAGAGCTGAGAGACAGCACCCAGGCCCACAGTTCAAGCCCCACGACCGACAAAAACAAAAAAAAGGAATTTTACATTACACATCTCTCAGTGGCTCTTACACTAGAATGATGAATTCATCCATTTGCTTCATAAAGAGAACTTTCCCCTATCACCTCATAAACCCAATGAAAGTTTTAAGTTCTTGAGTTGCTTGACTCTTTAGATGAAGTCTTACACTGAATTGGAAAATCTAATTATAGTCCACCTAACTCCAACAAGCAGACATGTCCACATCTACAGCTGAAACAAACCATTTTGGTAGCCAATACATACCAATAAGTTATATATGCTGCTTTCAAACCATATTTTTAATGTATTATCAACAATTAGTTTGATACATTGAGGTCCAGACAAACCTAAAAGTTTTCTTTGCCACTTTTTCATTTCACAGCTAATGATTAAAAACTCAGAAACCCTGTAAGTTTAAGTGAAACCTTAAAGCAGCCTGTGAGCCAGGTTCCAGTGGTTCATAACCTATAATTCGAGCCACTCAGGAAGCTGAAATATTAAAATCAAGGTTCAAAGCAAGCTTGGGCAGGAAAAGTCCCTGAGTCTTTTGTTTCCAATTAACCACCAAAATACCAGAAATGGAGCTGGTGCTCAAGTGACAGAGCACCAGCCTTGAGCAAAAACACTAAGGGAGAGTGGTGCCTTGGCTCTGACTTCAGGTCCCAAGACCAACACATACACACAAAAAAGCATGCTAGTGATAAGACACGACTGTAGGGGCTGGGAAGATGGCTCAGTGGTAGAGTGCTTGCTTTGCATGCCTGAGGCCCTGGGTTCGATTCCTTAGCACCACATAAGCAAAAAAGAAAAAAAAGCCGGAGGTGGCGCTGTGGCTCAAGTGGTAGAGCGCTAGCCTTGAGCTGAAGAGCTGAGGGACAGCGCCCAGGCCCAGAGTTCAGGCCCCACTACCAGACCCAAAAAAAAAAAAAAGACACGACTGTGTGGACTTCTGCAGCAAGGTTCCTCATTTCTTTCCAATAAGCAATAGATCAATATTAATCACTAATCCTCAGCTCCCCTGTCCCCAACTTCATAGACGTCCCTCACATATTGTAAGTAACCCTTCTTCACATAAATCCAACCACACCCACACATATACATAGCATCAGGTCCCAAGTCTCCCTCCCACATTGGCACAACAGTCTCTCAACTTTCTGGTTGCTGATCAAGGACCAATTCTTCATCCTCCTCCTAATCCTGCCCAGACTTCACACTGCCTACAATCTCTTTTTCCCTTTCTTCCACAACGCCAACTCAAACCAAGTCCCTATTTCCCTCAACTTCAGACAGCGTTTTTAAAACTCCATACACCTTTCCTCCCTGCCCACTCCCCACCCCCCAACCCCGTGTTTCTTATTCTTGCCTTTGTTAGTAAGTGGTAAGGTCTGGGAAAATCTCACTCACCTCATGCTATAGGCACCAGCACCCAGTTCCTGGCCGATCCCAGACAGGCTAGCATCAAAGTCCTGCACCAGCCCAGACTCAATCACTTCATCGGCCAGAGGCAGCTTCAGAGCCCAAGCCATCCTGGCTCCGCTCTTGCTCCCGGTGACACCGTTTCTTCTATGTACAAAAGCGCAGAACTTAATCCTACCCCCAAGGGTGCAAGACAGCATAAACTACAAACGAAAATCACACCTGTAGTGCCCACCAGCCACCACCACCACCACCACCCCAAAAAAAATCTGCCCTGCACAACTCCACAACTAATCTCGGGTACCCTTGGCACCTTAGTGTTGGGTGCCCGGGCTTCTAAGAGTCTCTCCGGCTCCGCTCCCAGGGGCGTGGGGCCTCCCTCGGCTTCACTATTCCAGACTCCTGCACACCCACCCACTCCCCAGGGTAGCCTCCGCAGCCCGTCCGTGCTGGCCCAGTCTGTCTTCCTGAGCAGACCCGCAGCAGCCACAAGCCCAGCCCGCAGGGCCGCTTTTGTACCTGTACCTCCGCCCCCTGCGACTAGAATCCTCCCCTCTCCCGAGACCCGCACTTTCCCCCTCCAGGCCTCACTTCCGGTCAGTCCTAAGAGAGCTTCCGGTCACCCCTTCTCAGCCCCGCAGCTCTTAGAAATAAATCCAGGTTCCTGCTGAGTCGTCTCCTCGCCCTCTGCAGGCCCCCTCGACGGCCAGGAAACCGGGACAGGAAAAAAAAGTCCAGTGCAAGATTGAGACTCGTCAGGCCCCTTCACTGGCCCGCCGCCTCAACGCCAACCAATCATGGCGCCCTCTACCTTTGCTGGGCCGGCAAAAAAACGTCATCCTGGCGATAGCCAATGAGAAATAGACTTCATCAGCCTCTACAGCGATGATAGGTTAGCTCCTCCACAGCTCCCCGCCCCCGGAGGCGGGCCGAGCGGTCTGGATTTGAAGGGCTTCTACCTGAGTGGAGGAGGCGTGGGCTGCGGGCCCAGGTCAACACCCTGACTCTGAGTCGTGACCCAGACGCGCTTCCAGTGGCTCTCCCACCCCTAGCGGGAATTCCTTTGCCCAAAGGCTCCCTATTCGTGTACGTTTATTCATGCTTGGCCTCTTGTCTTATTAAACTCACATCTCCTAAGGTAGAGACCCTGCTGAAGACCCAGGTCCATTGATAAATCATTTTGTCCGGAGCCTTCTCCCCAGGGCATTTGCAAAGAAAAACATGAGGTTGAAAAGCAAACGAACAAAGTAATGTGGCTTTTTAAAGGTGATGAAGGAGGCATGTTAGAATTTAGAAGATCTGAAGATCACAGCTGGGGCTGGCATCTTCACGTACTAATTTGGTGACTTCCAGAATAGTCTCAAATGGAGCTGTGGCTCAAGTGCTCGATCACCAGCCTAATCTAAAAAGGAAAGTGAATGTAGGCTGCAGATCACAATTCAAAGCTAGCCTGGTCAGAAAGTCCATGAGACTCTTAACCACCAAAAAGCCAGACGTGGAGCTGTGGTTCAAGTGATAAAAGAATGAGCGTTGAGCAATAAAAGCGGCAGTGTCCAGGCCCTAAGTTCAAGCCCCAGTACCAGCACAAAACAAAGTAACAATAGCCACCTATTCCCACTGAGATTTTTAGCTTCCTCCGTTGTAAGCAGATAACTACACCTGCTCCACAGCACTCGGAGGCTACGTACCTTGTCATCCTAGTTTCATGACAAGCAAGAAGTGGGTGAGGAAATAGTAACCATAATAATAATAGTAATAATAATAATAGTAAAAACAAAAATGTCTGGAGGTGTAGCTCAGCAGTAGAATGCCTGACTACCAAGCATGAGGCCCTGAGTTTATTACCACAAAAAAAAAGGTATATTCAGTTGTCCAGGTGAAAAAAAAAAAGTCAGTCATGTGGCTTGAACTCTAGGCCTGGGTGCTATCCCTCAGCTCTTCAGCTCAAGGCACTCTACCATGTGAGCATAGCGCCACTTCTGGTTTTTCTAGTCATTTATTGGAGATAAGAGTCTCTAGCCAGGGGCCAGTGGCTCACACCTGTAATCCTAGCTACTCAGGGGCCTGAGATCTGAGGATCCAGGCTCAAAGCCAGCCCAGGCAGGAAAGTCCATGAGACTCTTATCTCCAATAAACCACTAGAAAACCAGAAGTGGCAGGCACTGTGGCTCAAGCAGTAGAGAGCTCACCTTGAGCTAAAGAGCACAAGGACAGCACCCAAGCCCAGAGTTCAAGCCCCACAACCGACAAAAAAAAAGAGTTTTCCTGCCTGGACTGGCTTTGAACCTCAATCCTCAGATCTCAGCATCCTGAGTAGCTAGGATTACAGGCATGAACCACCAGTGCCTGGCTCAGAAGAAAAAAAAAATGTTTTTGGTCAGTCGTGGAGCTTGAACTCTGGGCCTGGGTGCTGTCCCTGAGCTCTTCAGCTCAAGGCTAGTGCTCTATTGCTTGAGCCACAGTGCCTACTTCTGGCTTTTTCTGTGTATATAGTGCTGAGGAATCGAACCCAGAGCCTCATGCATGCAAGGCAAGCACTCTACTACTGAGCCACCTTCCCAGCCCCAGAAGAAAAATTTTAACTGTGCCATGTTTAGGAAAATATTTTGAAAAAGAAAGCCAGGCATTGATGGCTATTGTTTAGATATCACTATTCTTTTTTTTTTTTTTTTTGGTTGGCTGTGGGGCTTGAACTCTGGGCCTGGGCGCTGTCCCTCAGCTCTTCAGCTCAAGGAGAGCGCTCTACCACTTGAGCTACAGCACCACTTTCGGTTTTCTGGTGTTTTATTGGAGATAGGAGTCTCACGGTCTCTCCTGCCCGGGCTGGCTTTGAACCGCGATCCTCAGATCTCAGCCGCATGAGTAGCTAGGATTACAGGCGTGAGCCACCAGCGCCCGGCCTAGATATTACTATTCTTGTGACCAAAGTAAATCCTAGCACCTGTCATATCTACTTAAATCCCTTTTCTTTAAGACATAAGGACTTGAGGACTTGAGGAATCATCATCTTCAGGTCAGCAGCCCCTTTCCAACCCTCAGGCTTCCCTTCTTACTCTATTTGCTCAGGTTAGTATTGCTGGGTGCCTAGGTCAATACCTGGCACTTTCCTCCAAGTACAGGAAGAAACCATAACCTGGCGGGCTTTTTTGAGCCTTAAATCTTATCCTCTTCCTGTAGTCCACCCAAGGAGCCTCTGAGGGCCAACTAGCTGCTTTGAAGGACCCTATAGTTGAAAGAAAATAAAATCAGTAATTTTCACAGTTACACAATTCCAAACAATCTCAAGTTCTTCTCCTCCCTTGTCTCTATAGTCCAGAAACCAGCCCACATCTCTTCCAATTCATACAAAGTCAATTCCTTTCAACCCATCCACGTAACAATGAACTTCCCCAAGCCTGGAAATAAGAACTACAGACCTTCCACAAACCTATTTCACCTACCCCCTTCTCTAAAATCTTCCTGGGCCAACTGCCAGGAGCCACCCTTAACTGGTCTTAGCCAGTAATATCAGCTCCCAGAACTCTCCTGATGGGAACTGCTAGCTCTGTCTCTGGCCAGATTCCATTCATTCTCACATTTCACAATCTAAACCCTGCCTAGCTAAGCAGAATCCTTGCCCCTGCTTCTCAGTAGCCTGAACCTAGGCTTATTATTCCCTTAAATGAAGAGTAGGAAATGCATCAAGCTACCCATCTGACAGTTATTAAGCATCTCTTCTATGCCCTGGCCTGTGTACTGAAGTGTCACAGTCCAGCGTGGATTAGTATATCAGCACTGTGAGATCTATGCTGGCTGGGGTAAGTGCTGGATTCTAGTTAATATTTTGTCTCAACAGAGTGTTATAAAGCTTGTGTCAGTCTTAGACATCCATTAACATCCTGGGTGGAAGCAGGTTGATGACACATAGTGTAGAACCCAGCACAGTGTCTAGCACAGAAATGCTGGTTGGGTAGAGAAAAAGAGAATGCCTTGTTTTTGCCATTTTAAATTATGCAGTCCAGATCTCATTAGGACCAGGAAGGTGGGAGACAGGACACTATAAAGGAAATGGCATGAACCCATGCCTAGGAGGTAGACCAGCCAACAGAGAGAGAGAGAGACAGATAGACAGACAGAAGAGAGAGCAAGCTTTGTGAAAGCTATACTCTCTCATCAATAAACTCATCTTCAGTCTTGGGGGGAAATGCAAATGGAGATTCATTTACCATAAGCTACATCTTTTTTTTTATTTTTGGTCAGTCATGGGGCTTGAACTCTAGGCCTGAGCTCTATCCCTCAGCTCTTCAGCTCAAGGCGAGCACTCTACCACTCGAGCCACAGCACCACTTCCGGGTTTCTGGTGTTTAATTGGAGATAAGTTTCACGGACTTTCCTGCCCAGGGTTGGCTTTGAACTGCCATCCTCAGATCTCAGCCTCCTGAGTAGCTAGGATTACAGGCATCAGCCACCCGCTCCCGGCTACAGCTACATCTTTATAAGGAGCTGTATAACTGGGCATTTATGGCTCATACCTGTAAATCCTTGCTATTCAGGAGGCTAAGATCTGAGGATTTGAAGTTTGAAACCAGTCCAGGTAGGAAAATCCATGATCTCCAATTAACCATTAAAAAAAATGCAGAAATGGATGTGTACTCAAGTGGTAGAGGGCTACGCTTGAGTGAAAAAGCTAAGGGACAGTGCCCAGGCCTGAGTTCAAGCCCCAGTACAGGAACAAGAAAGAAAAGAGAAAGAAAGGAAAAGAAAAGAAGAAAAGAGAAAAGGAAAGAAGGAGGAAAGAAAGGAAGGAAGGAAGGGGGAGAGAGAAAGAAGGAAAGAAAAAGAATGAAAACAAGAAAGAGAGAGGGAGAGAAAGAAAGAAGGAGAGAGGGGGCTGGGAGGGTGGCTCAGTGGTAGAGTGCTTGCTTTGCATGCATGAGGCCCTGGGTTTGATTCCTCAGCACCATATAAGCAGAAAAAGCTGGAAGTGGTGCTGTGGCTCAAGTGGTAGAGCGCTAGCCTTGAGCTGAAGAGCTGAGGGACAGTGCTCAGGCCCAGAGTTCAGACCCCATGACTGACAAAAAGAAAGAAAGAAAGAGGGAGAGAGAGGAGGGAGAAAGAGGAGGGAGTGAGGGAAGAAAGGATGGAAGGAGAAACAATATTAGAACTGTACAAATCAAGCTAACTATTCATGTAGATTTCTACATATCTAGATTAAGTTGTGGTGATAGAGCCCTTAAAAAAAGAGGTTGAGGGAATGTTTGCTTTTTTGCTTTTTCATCATGTAAAGATGTCTATGTTGCATCAGACACTAGATTACCAATTTCTTGATTTTTTTTTACTTCATACTCTCCATAACTGTGAGCAGTTTATAAACTACCCAGTCTAAGGTACTTTGTTATAACATTTGCTTGCTTATTTCCATTGTGGGGCTTGAACTCAAGGCCTGGGTACTCTCCCTGAACTCTTTTGCTCAAGGCAAGCTCTCTACTACTTGGAACTATAGCACCACTTCCAGTTTTCTAGTGGTTAACTGGATATCAGAATCTCATAGACTTTACTGCCCAGGCTGGCTCTGAGCTGAGATCCTTGGATCTCAGCCTCCTGAGTGTCTAGGATTTATACGCATAAGCCACCAGCACCCAGTTCCAAAGAACTTTGAGACCTGTAAGTGTGCAGACCGTTAGCAGAGTCTGCCAATATTATACCCAGAGAAGAAGGTACGGGAAATGAGTTTAGCAGAGAATTCTGGGGTCCTTGATGCCCAGAATGTAGCCTAGAAGTAAAAAGGGGCATACCCCCTTGGGCCTGCAACCCATAAGGAGGCCTGAAACTGAGGGCCAGAGCAGGGGCTTCTGAAGTAGGATGACAGGACACTGACCCTCATGATTTTGCAATGGGATTTTCCAGGCTGCAAGTTCACAGCAAAGGCAGTTTCCTGTATTTTCCAGGTCTCTAATACTGATTCCTTATGTTTCTACCTTGACAAGTGACCAAGAAACAAGCAGAGCAGTACAAAAGAAAAAATACTGTTTATTCCACACAACTACATCAAGTACTTGTCCTCAGTTCTCCCCTCTCCCCACTCTTGCCTCCAGCCTTCAACAGGTGCTGCTCAGTACTGAGAAACAGAACATCAAAACCTGGGAGGCAGGAAAGGAAATCTGGGCATGGGAATGTGATTGGATTTCTAAGAACACCAAAACAAACAGGTTTATCATTCCATACTCAGTGTGTTACTCAGTCCATGTGACAGAATTCTTCCCTGGACTTTGCCTGCCTAGATCGGACAGGGTTCAAAGGCTCCAGCTGATTCAGCAAGTCATAGAAGTTTTGGTCTCTCTTAAAACAAGCAAATCATACAGTTAAACCATTCCTGTTCCTTCTCTTGTCTTATCCATTCTCATTTTAACCCTGGCAAAGAAGCCACAGAACTCTGAAGTCCAGAAAGATACTTTCAAAACAAAACATCTATCCCTGATGGTTCCCGATAGTATGAAAAACATGAACTGCCTTGGGCAAATGGCCCAGGCCCCAGATGCTTCGCAGTTATCCTTTGTGGGGAAGTCAGGACCAGAGACCACAGGTGAGAGAGCTCTGCTTTGGGAACACTCTTTGGGCACCTCCATTGGGCCTTGGGATTGTTCCTCTGGTTTAAGATTAGTTCAGCCTTGGGAAGACAGATTCCGATGAGGGAGGGGCTGAGAACTTGTGACTCAGCCTAATTTAGACTGGTGGTTCATGGGGTTTTGTTTTCCTACCATGCCACAGGACAGATGGTGTCTTTTTGCACACCCTGTATTAGATGCTACTTCCAGGACACCAGCTGTGACCCACTTGTCTCCCAGAAAAAGAAAGCACTACTGACTGCAAACATTTGTGCATGTCCCTAATTCACTGAAATATGAGTCACTGACTCCTTGACCAATTCTGGCACTGTTGATAATTCTTAATGAAAACTTGTCAACAATACCCCTCCCAAGTGGGCCCTTCATCTCATATAGGCAGGTTGATAACCATGACCTAGAGGGTGAAGTCTCCCTCCAGGAGATATATTCTCTCCTGGAAGGCTGAGTGAGGAAGCTGTCCACCTCTCTTTTCATTTCTACCAAACTCTGGAAGGCTTGGGTGGTCCAAATGGAGCATGGGGATGAGGGGCAGCTGCTAGAAACTAAGCTCTGGGACTGTGCTCCTTTGTGGCACAGCATACACAGCAAAATCTGGAGAATCTAGAGTCACATAGGACATTTTTTTAAGCATGTGGGAGGGAACCCAGATTGTTGTGCATTGATTGCTAGGTAAGCAATCTACAACTGAGATGCCTCCCCAGCCCAATCCTAAAAAGCTGCCTAGCCACAGTGAGGCTTGAAACTCAGTTTGGATATGATGCCCAACTCTCTGCCATGGCTTCTCCCTCTAGAGGAAAACCCTTTCTACTCTGGAGCTTTCTGAGGCGGGGGGGGGGATGGTGAGTGGGGGGGGAGACTGCTTACACACGTGGTCTTAGTGCCTTGTTGTCTGTTTAAAGTTCCCAGTACTCATTCCCAGTTGGGTATGAGAATAATGGTAGAGAGAAAGCATTCTTTTCCTCATTTTTTTTTCCCTCCAGGATTGCTTTCTTGCTTAACTAGGGTAATATTTTCCAACTCAAACTCTTTTTTTGTGTGGGCAGATGGCCATGGGCAGAGATTAGATTAAAATCTGGAAGGATGGGCTTATCATTAGGAAATTTCAGGACAGCAGCAGACCCAGGCAGCAGGTAAAGTTCACTGCTTGCTTCCTTCCAACATGGGTTACACAAGAAAAAGATTCTATTGTAATGTCATCTCCTCCACCAAATGAACCACAAGAAGGACTCATGTTCTGTCCCACGCTTTGGAAACCTTCTGACCTTCTACACTTTGATAAATGCATCTCTTGGGTTCTTCGAGGGGTTTAGTATAACTGTATGCAAAGTAGGAGAGGGCAGTGTGAGGCTGGATGAGTTGTTTTAGCTGCCACAGTAGCACAAAGGAGCAGCAAAGGAGAAAGGGGAGGTGCGTAGAAAGAGAATGTCATCAAAAACAAGAGCTAATGCCAGTGGACCCCAGGAGGTGCTATAGCCCTGCCCCAAAGGTGGGACATAAAATTTGCCCTTCAGAAACCATGTCTACAAAGTGCTTCTCCAAGAGACACCACAAATACCCTCCTTCAGAGTGCCTAGAGCCCAGAGCCTGGGGCTCTCATGTGGTCCTGTCTCTCTGCCTCCCAGGGTGTGAGAGATGTTGGGGGAGAAGAGGGAGGCACTGACACACATGCACATGGTGAGGCTCATGACCTAGGGCCAGCACAGCTGCACGTAGGACTGTCAGGGCAGTGACAACAGCTGGGTGCTGAGGGAAGAGTACAAAGTGCTGAAACACAGGGCTGGGGGCTGAGCCCTAGGGAATCTGAAAGACGTTCAGCTTGCTGGTGTTCTTGAGTGTCTGGCGCCGGTTACAGAACCAGACCCGCACTACCTCTCGGTCATAGTTGAGCTCCTTAGCAATCTCTGTGATCTCCTGGCCAGTGGGCAGTGGGTTCTTCTCAAAATAGGCATTGAGAGCCTCGATGGCCTGTGGAGTGAAGGAGGTGCGGCGTTTGCGTTTCTTGGAGGGCTCACCTCCCACAAATTCCATCAGATTCTGCTGGCCTTCCTGGTTCCGAAGTTCAGCCTCGTTCAGCCACTTCTCCAGCACTGGTTTCAGCTTCTGAGCACTCTTGGGTGTGATGTCCAGCTTCTCAAACCTGCAAGCAACACATGTCCAGCAAGGGACAGAGAGAGTGTCTCAGTCTGTTTGGCATACCCCATATCTGGATGGAAGTACTACCCTCACAAACTGGAGAGACTCTATCCAGGGTACCCTTACTGCCCCTACAGCACTACTATCTTTCTGGTTCAAGCAAGCCCAGACTCCTCAGTTTCCCAAGTGCTAGCAGGCAGACCACGCCCTGGGCCTCAGATGGGCAAGGCAATGACAATAGTGCCCTAAACAACAACAGGTCCAGAATGTTCACATCCAAATGAAAGCTTGTGAGGCGTCATTCTGAGTAGCCTGTAGGGGTCGCCAGTGTCAGCAGTGTCACACATGACTTCATAACTCACAAGTCAGGCGGTTCCTTCTTGCTGAGCACATCATGGAATAGTCAGCCGCAGCAGATGTAAACATTCAGCCATTAGTGAGCCATGTACTTATTTCTGTTTGAAATTCTAATTATCTCTCTGCTGGTTCTAGCATCAAAACACGTTTGCAAACTGCACACAGAAAAACTTAGCCCTATCGCTTTCTAGTTATACCTTATATGAGGGAGAGGTAGGGTGTGACAAGAGTATTGTATGTAGTTGAGGGCCAAGAGAAAACTCCCATTTTTTGTGTTTCATGTTCGAAAATAGCTTTCTTTTACTTTGTGTGTGTGTGTGTGTGTGTTTGTACCAGAACTGGGGCTTGAACTCAGGGCCTTAAACTCTCACTTGGCTTTTTTTTTTTTTTTGCTCTACCACTTAAGCCACAGCTCCACTTCTGGCTTTCTGCTGATTATTTTGAGATAGGAGTCTCACTGACTTTTCAGCCCAGGCTAGCTTTGAACCAGGGTCCTCAGATCTCAGGTTCTTTTTGAGCTAGGATGATAGGCATGGGGGCACCAGAATTGGGCTTATTATGAACTAGCTTTTGTGCTACAATTTCTGAATAGATTTGGGCCCTAGAATGTCTGAGTCAGTCTTTGGCTGCTGCAGTTGTGTCCATATCCATCCTTAGACTAGACTTCCTTATCTGGAAGGAGACAGGATGGTAAGAAGGAGAAATGTGGAAAGAGGCTGGATGCCCTGGTCCCCATGAGTGCCCAGGGGCAACAGGCCCTGAGCAGGCCTCATGACCTTCTCCAGGGCAATCTTACTCACCGACAGATGGCAGACTGGCTGTAGGCTGGTCCTTCTGTTGCAGTCAGAGCCTGGCCCACTTGAGTCTGTGTAAGGCCCAGGGAGAGCCGCCGGATCTTAAAGTTCTTAGCAAACTCCCGGATCTCTTCCAAGTTGATCCCGTCCTCATCTAGACTTGGAGTATGCGGCTCTAGGCCAGAGGAAGGGACCAAGGTTGACTGTATCAATGGGAATCAACTCAACCTATGTGGCCTATTTGCCTGGGCTGGTTCAGTGGTGAGGGATGAGGACATCTGTCAAAAGGCTGTATACCTTTAAGACTCCTGCCACCAGGACAAGTAAGACTTGTGGACAAGGGCCCTGGACCACTGTATGGGGGGCGGAGGGGTATAAGATCTATTTAAGTTCCAGCTCTAACTGCTGGCCTCCCTCATGCTCCCTAGTTCTGCCCCAAGCATAGCTGTTGGCCATCCACATTCCTCAAATACTGGGTAAGAGAATGCAGTAGAGATAGCCAATGGTTTGGCCTCTCTGAAAAACAACCAGTCAGGAGCAGCCTTCACTAATATGCCCAGAATCCTGCCCAATAGGAATGGGAATAACCAAGTCAAGCCCTCACTTTAGGCCTCTTCCCTTTCCTTTGGAACTTCAGGAACCTCCCCTCTCCTTTCCGTTCCCTCCTTCTCTCCTTCTTTCTTTCTTTCCCTCCCTCCCTCCCTCCCTCCCTCTCTCCCTCCCTTCCTTCCTTCCTTCCTTCCTTCCTTCCTTCCTTCCTTCCTTCCTTTTCTCTTTCTCTTTCCCTTCCTTCCTTCCTTCCTTCCTTTTCTTTTTCTTTCTTTCCTCTTTCTTTCTGACAAGGTCTTGGGGCTCACTATGTTGCCTAGGTTTGCCTTGAACTTCTAGTCTCAAGAGATCTCCTGCCTCCGTTTCTGGAACAATTAGGGTGCAGGCCTGGCACCCAGTTCTAGGTAGTTTATTAAGGACAGCAGTATCTGAGGAGGTTGGGTTCCATCCCCCCCCCCACCCCCGGGGCAATTCCACATTCCTCTCCCCAGAGCCACTTACTGGACACCAACTGGCTGACTGTAGGAGTCTCTGAGCAGGTGATGGGGATAGGAGCAGAGGCAGATGGCTTGGCTGCTGGGGCGGGACTAGCAATGACCACAGCAGGCTGGGGTACAGCTGGTGAGGGCTGGATGGGCTGCACCTATGAGAAAAGAGAAAAGCCTCTGTTGGTCTCTGCCAACTCAGGAAGTAGAAACTCCTGAGTAGAGCACAGGCAGGACAGAAATGGGTATGAGAGTCTCACTCACCTAGCGCATTCCTGTGACCTAACAAAAAGCAAAATTAGCAGATGCCTATGAACACACACCATGATAATGACCTTCTAAATAATCACCTAAATGTAACACCTGAGACAAGCCACTAAGAAACTCAGAAAAGTTGGGTGTACATGGTCAAAACCTCAATAAATAACCCCCTCGGGCTAACTCTCTCACATCCCTTCTTTCAAAAGAGAAACTTCAACCTTATTCTAGGCTCTAAAAATCTAGGAGTAGGAAACTGATAAAAAAAAAAACCTTCCCACAATGAGAGAGGGTAACAATGCTCGACAAGAAATGTACCCATTGCCTTACTCATGTAACTGTAACCCCTCTATATAGCATCTTTACAATAAAATAAAAAAATTTTAAATCACAGAAAAAAAGGTAAGGCTGAAAGCTGGGCGCTGGTATCTTAGCGACTTAGGAGGCTGAGAGCTGAGGACTGTGGTTCAAAGCCAGCCCAGGAAGAAAAGTTCATTGCAGTCTTATCTCCAGTTAACCACAAAAAGCCAGAAGTAGAGCTGTGGCTCAAGTGGTAGAGCACTAGCCTTGAGCACAAAAGCTCATAGGCAGCACCCAGGTCCTGAGTTCAAGCCCCAGGACCAGCAACAAAAAAAAAAAAGTAGGCTTGAGATGGCCCAGAGAGAGTATCTGCATCATGCAGAAGATCTTAAGTTTGATCTCTAACACGGACCAAAAAAAAAAAACACAAAAAAAACTACTTTGAGTCATAGTGCTAAGTGAAAAAAGAAAGATGTGAAAACAGAAAGGTTTTATGGAATTTGCCTTTTAAAATATTAAAATACTAATTAAAATATTAAAATTTTAAAATACATATTAATTTTCATGAAATAAAATTGAGAAATATAAAATAAGCTGTCAACAGAAGTCATCTTTGGAGGTAGAACTAGAAGGGACTTTTCTTTCTTTCCTTTTTTGGTAGTAGTGTTGGGGATTAAACCCAGAGCTTCATTCATGCTGGGCATGTACTTTTCCACTAAGCTACATACCAGCCCAGCGACTTTAACCTAGAGCCAGGGTTCTGTCCCTAAGCTTTTTTCTTTTTCTTTCTTTCTTTCTGCTCAAGGCTAGTGCTCTACCTCTTGAACCATAGCTCCACTTGTGGCTTTTTGGTATTTAATTGAAGATGAGTCCCACAGACTTTCCTGTATTGGCTGGCTTTGAACTATAATCCACAGATCTCAGCCTCCTGAGTAGCTAAGATTACAGACATGGGCCATCAACTGCTTGGTTACAAAGCCTCTTTTAACTAGATACTTTTACAATATCTATTTTCAGATAAGGCTAAGTGGTTATTTCCAAAGCTTAGAAGCAGCATACAACTTTTGAGGACCACTGGTCCCAATGACTCTGGGAACTTAGCACATTCTTGGCCCCATTCAGACCTATGGAATAAGAAAATAGTCTGACAAGCCCTCCAGGTGATTCTGATGCACAAGATTGAGAAGCACCCATCTAGTTTCATGCTCCTGTTTCATTCTCACCTGATCCTTATCTGTCAGAGCTCGCTTTTCTGGGGATCCAAAGGACCTTAGCCACACCCCTATGCTGAGCTACCTAAGGCTAACAGGGACATTTTAGTCTTTTTTTTTTGCCAATCCCAGGGCTTGAATTCAGGGCCTGGGCACTGTTCCTGAGCTTCTTTTGCTCAAGGCTAGCACTCTTGAACCTCAGAGCCACTTCTGGCTTTTTCCGTTTATGTGCTACTGAGGAATTGAACCCGGGGCTTCATGCATGCTAGACAAACACTCTACTATTAAGCCACATTCCCAGCCCCATCATCTTTGTATCTTTAGTACTTGGAATATAGTAAGCCCTCAAACAATGCTTCTGGAATGAGGAAAAAATAATCAAAGCCTCAATATAAGGTAGTGGGGGAAAGGAAGCAGAAGGGGTACAGAATAAACTCCTGGGGCTTTTCTGCCAGTTTGTTCATTCTGTAGCTCAATCAGACCAGTCCACTTTGACTACCTGCAGCATACATAGATTCCCATTGGCTTCTACTTAGGAGCCTTCCTCACTTTTGCAAGTGTCTTGCTCCCCCAGGAACTTTAGAAGCTGCTCTGCTCAGCAGTCTGAAGGGAAATAACCCATTCCCTCCCTCCCCCAAGCCCCCAATGCCTCCATCCCTAGTACCTCACTCTTCGCTGGGGACTCTGGCGTGCTTGGCTTCCGGACAGTCACAGGTGGAGGCAGGGGGCTGCTAGCCAGAGTCGCAATCACCTGGCCCTGGGCATTTAACAACAGTTGAGGGGTCACAGCCTGGACCTGCAGGCTTTGAGCTGGTGCTGAAGCTGCCACACTAGCTGAATTCACCACCCATGGAAGTGTTCCAATAACCTAAGAGGAAATAAGGGAGGGGCCCCATGTATGAGGGCTGTATCCAACCTACCTTCAGCCCAAATCCCCATACTGGCAAAAACTAACTTAGACAAAACACTTAAACCATCTGGCTGTTTTTCTCATCAACAATCCAGCCTGGAGGCTCCTTTCTTTATTTCATCCTCAGAGCTGAGGTACAGCTGGAGTGGGACTTTTTGTGAGTCAGAGACCTGAATGTTAAGTCAGTACTCTTAATCTTCCTTCCTTTTTCTTTGTCTTTCCCTCCTTCCCTCCCTTCCTTCCCCCCTTTCTTTCCTGTACTGGAACTTGAATTCAGGGCCTATGCATTGTCCTTTAGTTTGTTTTTTTGCTCAAGGCTGGCACTCTACCACTTGAGCCACAGTTCCACCTTCAGCTTTTTGGTGATTAATTAGAGATTAGAGTCTCCTGCACTTTCCTGATCACCCTGGCTTTGCACTACAATGTTCAGATTTCACCGTCCTGAGTAGTTAGTAGCCACTAGTGCCCAGCTTAACTTAGTATTTCTGAATCTTGTTCTCGCCAGTAAAATAAAAATCTCTACCAAATAGATCTGTACTCAAAACAGTGAGATAAAATATGAGAAAGCACCCAGCACAAAGCCTGTCCATAGATAAAATCCTACAAGTAGAATGAGTGCCTCTAGGGGACCGCGGTGGCTGGCCCCAACATTAGCTGAGCCCCAACAGCTAGGGTCTTCAGCTTGACTCCCAGTTTGAGTTTCTAGGATGCTTACTTAGCCCAAGACCTGGCTAGCTATTCCACAGCACCCACCCTCAGCCCTGGCTTTCACCACTTGCCTGTCCCTGAGCATTGGTGAGGATCTGACTGCTGATCCCTGGCATGCCGGGAATGGTGTTGGTAATGACCGGAGTTGTAGTGAGGGAGCCCAGGATCTGGGTCTGTCCCCCAAGGGAAGCAGCACTGATCTGTGGGTGGAGAAAGAGCCTTGCTCAGAGGCCAAAAGGGTGAAAAGAGACCCGGACAGAGGGAAGAGTGCAAGGACATTGTGGGTGGTGGTGCACATAAAAGAGGGTTGCAGGTCTGTGTCCACTAGATAAATACCTAGAACTAGGAAGGGGCCACCGGGGGTAACAGGGAAGGGTAGGGCCACAGTCATAGAACAGTAACTCTGTTTAATCTTTCCAGCCAGGCCGGGGGGGGGGGTAGAAGGGCCAAACTGGAGAGGCTGGTGTGCTCTTAGTCACATCTGGCAACCCCACCGCTAAGCCAGGAGCCACATTACAAAGACACTAGCACAGAGCCGTGAGCCACCAGCTGCACCTTAGCAACAGCTCACAAGGTTGTAATCCCTAGACATCCCACCCTCCAAGGCTCATCCAGTGGTTCAGGTTCTGGAGAATTTGCCCAGGCCTCTTGGTAGAGGGTTGCTTGCTTTTGTTTGGGTTGGACAGGCTGACAGCTGCAAGAAGACCTCAGAGGGAGCCCATCTCTGCTGGTGTTGGAAAGGGCTGGATTCAAGGGGCTGGTCCTCCTCTGTGGGAAGGGTCACTTCCACCCGTAGCCCTAGATTTGGTCCATCCCTGGTTAGCCCTGGGTGAGGGCAGCAGCTTACGATTCCTGGGCTAAATGCAAAGCCTGCAGGCTGGACGGTGATCTGTGGGGTGGTGTCCACTGGCTTGGGGGGAGGGGCAGCAGCGGTGGCAGCAGTGGGCTGTGGTATGATGGCAGGCGTGGTCTGTAGCAGCGGCTGGGTCTGGAACAACGTCTGGGGCTGGGCTGGTGGCCGGGGCTGGGCTGGTGAAGCAGCCTGGATTGGTGGGGCAGCTTGTACAGGTGCCGGAAGGGCGGTGTTCAGCACAGCAGTTGCTATGGAGCAAGGCAGAGACAGAGGTGCTCAAGTGCCTAGCCATGGCCCAGAGTGGCTCCAATCCCATCTGGCACAAGAATGACAGGGGGCTGGGGCAGTGGGCATGGGAACAGGCAGTTGTAATTCCTTGGATGCTTGAAGGCCTGATGCATGTCAACATCTTTCATTCCCACCCCCCTCCCTTGGGCCAGTAGATTTGTAGGTTCAAGAACTAGATGTTGAATCTTCTTGCAATCCTTCTCAGGAGGCTGGTCATGGGTGAATTCTGGCATGGGGAAGAGAGCAGTCTCAGGCAGTTGGCTGAAGAAAGAAAGGCCTGCTGGCTGGCTTGGTGTCCTGGCCTAGAGTCCCAAAGTTGGTGCTGTGGCTCTGTGGTTAGATGCCTGGAACACTGGATCCAGACTGCAGGGCTCTTGGCCTGGGTGGGCCTCAGGTTCTGAGTCCAGCACGGGAAGTACATGTGCAAGGGTGGAAGTGTGGGGTGGCAGGGCATCTGGTGCAGTCCTGGGGAGAATTGCCGTTACCTTGGAGACTGGCTAAAGGTGGCTTGAAAATTCCCCCCGGAGGAGAAGCAGCGGTCAGTCCTGGGAGGGCAGCCACAGTTGCTGTAGGAATTGTCCACACGGCCAGCCCCTGCTGCCCAGCCACTTGACCTGCAATACTGATGGGGATAAGAAGAGGTTGAGTAACTGCCCCTGCTGGAACCATAACTCCTGTCAGAACTGTGGCTAAGTTTTCCTGAGTCAAGACCTGCAAAAGCAAACAAGATTTCAAAAAAGAAAAGAAAAGAAAAAAAAATAAAAAGAAAAAATCAACATCCACAGAGCAAACACTGGTCTCTCAGACCCAGTTGAGCATAAACAATTATTCTGAGGGCAGTGAGGGAAAAGGCCACAGGAGGGTGAGGAAAAGGTCCAAGGTCTAGATGGAGGCCTCATCCTGAGGGGTGCTTGCCAGCTTATCCTTGCCTATAGAACCAGTGATTTGTGAACAATGAACAAGAGCAGAGGTGCAACTAAGCAGTCCAGGGTCTGCAGAGGCTTCCAAGAAGTTCTGGTGAAGAATACTATCTTTGCTTGGATGCCTTGGAGAATCGTGCATAGAGCAAAGGTCACCAGGACTGCAGGATCCCACACACAGCCTCTTGCTGTGCTAGAGATGTTCCCTAGCTCTGCCTGAGGACTCTGAACAACCCCTTAGCTCTTCCAAGCATGAAAGAGATCATGTTATTTCTACAAGGAGATTGCCCAACAAATGCACATCTTCTTTTCCAGTGGGCTTTATCTAAGGCAGGGGAGTCTAGTAGGTAGCCTCTGCCTTATACTGCCTCACAGTTTCTCAGATCCCATCGTTCCTTCATGCCATACTCCTGCCCACTGCCCTCTGTCCAACTCCCTAGGGTGGCCCTTACCTGGGGGGCAGCTTGTAGAGCCAGTGGCGTCAGGGTCTGTGATGCCTGAGGCTGGGTTTGGGCTTGGCTGAAGGTGGCAATGGCAGGGGCAGGACTCGGAGGGATTCCTGGGAGTGATTTCACTTCATGTGGAATTGAGAGAAAGAACAAGAAGTGAGGGGAGGGGTGAGTAGAGTAGAATATCTTGCCTGCAGCCAGAAGTGGTAACTTCTAGCCCATGTTTATTTCTTGTATAACAGAATACTAGTTGCTGGCTTTCTCTGACCCATGAAGCAGCTTTCCCAGTGCTGCTCAGTGTGAGACTTCAGCTGGAGAGCCCTGGGTCAGACAGGAAAGATAGGCCACCTTCTCTTCTCATCTGCATGAAATACACGTCTGTGCATAGCTGGGTACCAACCCCTCATTTTCTGGCTCTAAAAGACATTGTTACATTGTCACAACCTGTTACATAATCAGCAGGGCAGGGAGGTAAAGTGCTAGAATTGATGAAAACAGCAAAGGGGAAGTCAGCCAGCAACTGAATTCTTCATCTCATATTCAAGCTACTTTTGGATACAAAAAGTGCTGGTTTAGATGGATGCTCTGACCTATGCCTATAATCCTAGCTACTTAGGAGGCAGAGATCTGAGAATCTTGGTTCTAAGCCAGCCTGGACAGGAAAGTCTGTGAGACTCTTTTTTTTTGGGTCCGGTCGTGGGGCCTGAACTCTGAGCCTGGGCACTGTCCCTCAGCATTTTAGCTCAAGGCTAGCGCTCTACCAGTTGAGCCACAGCGCCACTTCCGGCTTTTTTTCTTTTTGCTTATGTGGTGCTGGGAAATCGAACCCAGGGCCTCATGCATGCAAAGCAAGCACTTTACCACTGAGCCACCTTCCCAGCCCGTCTGTGAGACTCTTATCTCCAATTAACCACCAGAAAACTAGAAGTGGAGCTGTGGCTCAGAATGATAGAACACTAGCCTTGATTGAAAAAGCTGGAAGTGGAGCTATGACTTAAGTGGTAGAATGCTAACCTTAAGCATAAAAGCTCAGGGACAGTGCCCAGGCCCTGAGTTCAAGCCCCTGACCAACACACACACACACACACACACACACACACACACACACACACACACACAGCAGGGACATGGGAATTCTTACAGGGCAAAGTTCCTGAAATTGGATATGACTTTACCAAACTGCAGGGTCATAGGAGCTCTTTATGCCAGCCAGCTTTTCTCTGCCTTCCTTGAAGTCTGAAGTCAAGAAGAGTTTTAAGCCAGGCACTGGAAGCTCATGATTTTAATCCTAGCTACTCAGGAGGCTGAGATATAAGGACTGGGCTTCAAAACCAGCCCAGACAGGAAAGTCCATGAGATTCTTATCTCCAATTAGCCACCAAAAAGTAGAGGTATGGCTTAAGTGGTAGAATGGCAGCCTTGAGTGAAAAAGTTAAAGGACAGCACCCAGGCCCTGAGTTCAAACACCAGTACACTCCTCTCTCTCTCTTTCTCCTTCTTCTCTCTGTCTCTCTCTGCCAGTCCTGGCTCTTGGACTTAGAGCCTGTCCCTGATCTTTTTTGCTAAAAGCTAGGTTTCTATTACTTGTGCCACAGCTTCACTCTAGCTTTTTGGTGGTTAATTGGAGGTAAGAATCTTAAGGACTTTCCTGCCTGGGATGGCTTCAAATCACGACCCTCAGATCTCAGCCTGATAGGGATATAGATGTGAGCCACTGGCAGCCAGCTTATGTATTTATTTGTAAACATTACGGCTTTGAATATCTTTGATTGGTCCTTTTTTCTTTGTGGTGTAGTGCACTGAAATTCCTTTTGAGGAGAAATCAACTGTTGATGTGGAAGGAAGTCATCACAGGAGGGAGAGAGAGAGAGAGAGAGAGAGAGAGAGACTTTCTGCAGAACAAGACGTCAACCTCTTGATATGGTGTTTTATTCAATGATGAGAAAAGGGTGGTCTATGGCTGGAGCAGTGTCTAGGCCCATAGCTTAGCCTCTAGAATAGCCATGGTTGTCTCACATCTGTACTGTAGGAGCATCTAGCTCATACCCTAAGGTCATCTTTGGAAAAGCACAGCACCGTAAGTCTACTGAGAGGAGGGAAAGGCATTTTCAAGGTTCTAGTTAATCTGTATGTACAGTCTGAGGAAGGTAAGATGCCCTTCCATCCTCAGCTCCTAGAACCTTCCAGCTCTAACATAAAAATGATTGAGTTTGAAAGGTTTGTCTGGGCTTAGCACTGGTGACTCATATCTGTAATCCCAGCTACTCAAGAGGCTGAGATCTGAAGATTGTGGTTCAAAGCCAGCCTGGGCAGGAAAGTCTGTGAGACTCTTACCTCCAATGAACCACCAGAAAATCAGACATGGTGCTATATAGTTCAAAATGGTAGAGCACTAGCCCTGAGCAAGAAAGCTCAGGGACAGCACCCAGGCCTCGTTCAAGCCCTGAAACTTGACAAAACAAAACAAAAAGAAAGAAAGAAAGAAAAGAAAAGCCTCCATGCTGAAAGTTCAGGCCTCTCTGCATTGGACCAACACTCTGGTTTGTATCTAGGAGCACACTGAGGTGGATTCAAATTTTTATTTATCTATCTATCTATCTATTTATTCTTGTCGGTTGTGGGCCTTGAACTGGGGGCCTGGACACTGTTCCTGGTCTCTTCAAGGCTAGTGTTCTACCACTTTGAGCCACAGCGCTACTTTCAATTTTCTGGTGGTTAATTGGAGATAAAAGTCTCACAGACTTTCCTGCCTAAGCTGGCTTTGAACTGCAATTCTCAGCTCTCAGCCTCTTGAGTAGCTAGGATTACAGGTGTGAGCCACCTGCAGTGGGCTAGATTCAAATTTCTTAGGATAGTCCTCACCAGTCAGTGGATCCCAGCTTTGCTCTGAGAGTGATTCAAGGAGAACTCAATTTCAGGAACAAGGAGGATGAAATAGCCCTGGAGGCTGGCTAGATGTTCAGACTGTGGCCACAGGCTATCCAGTGAGCAGGAAGACAAGGCTGTAATGCCACATGGGTCCCCAGGACTTAGACTGGCTCACCAGGAAACTGCAGAAGGGACCCAAGGGGAGCAAAGCCACATTGGAGTAATAGCCTCATACCAGCTGTATCTGTAGGGGGGTCTGGGTTGTTTGGCCCAGCTTCACCAGCGTTTTCTCTGGCTTCAGAAGGGTCTTGGTTCTGGGAGCCCTCGGTAGCCACACCCTCCAGTCCTTTCCCCTCTTCCTCAGCCGGGAGCTGGGCATCCACTCCAACTTCCAGCACTCGGATGGTCTCATGGCCTGACATCACGATGACCTGCAAGCAGAGAAGGATGGGAGACATTGCTGGGGGAGGGGGAGCAGCAGGAGCTCTGGGTATGGCTGGGGGAAAGAGGAGAGGGCAACTTCAGGATGCTCACCTCCTACTCAGAGAGGACTGTGTCCTCAGGAATCATCAGAGCCTCGGCCAGGGGAGAAGCTACTAGAACAAAGCAGTTCTTGGAGATAGGAAGAAGGGCCTGACAGAAACAGAGAAAAGCCCCACAGAGCCAAACCATTTGGGAGATATTCTTCTTTGCTCTGTGGGACGTAGTGCAGGCAATGGGAAATGGCCTTATACACAGACATCCTCTTGGCTGCTAGGATACTGGAATGGTGGCTATGCAGGCTCCTACCACAAACTGTGTGTCCACATTTTAGGTTGGGCCATGACACAAATCCATCTTTACTTTTCTTTGAAACCCTCTAGAAATTTCCCAAAGACAAGTGGATGGAAAAAATTAGGGCTCCATAATGATGAGAAACTTTTTAAAGCTCCTGATATTATTATTTTCAAAACTCTGAAATAAGGGGCTAGAATTTTCCGCAAACTATATTCCTGAATGGAGCAGGAATCCTGAAGATGCAGTCTCTCCTGCCTCACCCCTGCACTGACCCTCTGAGCCAGACTTGAGGTCCCAGGGAACATGCTCAGACCACAAGGGCCCCTCCAAGAGCCTGTGGTGTGGACAGTCCTGGACCTTTCTTTCACTGGGGTTTCTGCTCAAATGCCAGGCTCTTTACTCCTCCCCATACAATGAAATGCTGCTGTTAGGATCCTTCAAGAATCCTGGATGAACTCTGTACACTAAAAAGTTTGTAAGGATTGGAGCCAGTGGCTGACGCCTGTAATCCTAGCAATGCAGGACACCAAGATCTGAGCATCAAGGTTCGAAGCCAGCCTGGACAGTCAAGTCCAAAAGACTTATACTTCCTATTAACCAGAAACAACAGCAACAACAAACAGCCAGGCTGGAAATGTGGTTTAAGTAATAGAGTTCAAGCCCTTGTACCAGCATACATACATGTGCGTGCGTAACACACACACACACACACACACACACATACACAAATAAAGAGCTTTGTGTTGGTGTCAGCTCTCCCTACCCTTATCCGGTGTCTGCAACCACTTCCATAACACATTCCTGAAGCTGGAAAATTGGAAAAGGGGACAATATGACCTACCAGGAAAGTAGGCCTGAAATAAATCTCTCAAAGCAGTTCCCTTTGGTCCATTCAAACATAACTTTGAAGGACTTCACTCTGATTACATTTTTGGTTTTGTGTGTGTTTGTGTGGTTTTACTTTTTCTTTTTCTGGCAGTGGTGGGATTTGAACTCAGGGCCTGGTACTTGCTAGGAGGTACTCTACCAATTGAACCATGCCCAAACCTCCAATTATGGTTTAAGGAATGTTAAACTTTTTTTCTGCACTTAAAAATAAGAAAGGGAAGGGGCTGGGAAGGTGGCTCAGTGATAGAGTGCTTGCCTTGCATGCATGAGGCCCTGGGTTCGATTCCTCAGCACCACATAAGCAAAAAGAAAAAAGCCGGAAGTGGCGCTGTGGCTCAAGTGGTAGAGTGCTAGCCTTGAGCTGAAGAGCTGAGGGACAGCGCCCAGGCCCAGAGTTCAGGCCCCACGACCGGACCCAAAAAAAAAAAATAAGAAAGGGAAAAAAGAATAAAAATAAGAAAGAAAATAAAAATAACATGAAGAGTAAACTTATTGAGAAAAATTGCTATGTGTGTGTATAGAAGAAAAATGAAGAGTAAATTACCTGAGGCCCAAATTTTTCTTTCTTTCCTTCTTTTCATTTCTTTTCTTTTGTTGGTTGTGGGGCTTGAACTCAGAACCTGGACCTTTTCCTTGAGCTTTTTTACTCAAGGCCATCGCTCTAACACTTTGAGCCACAGCACCATTTCTGGTTTTCTGACAGTTAATTGGAGATAAGAGTGTCCCGGACGGGCTGGGAAGGTGGCTCATTGGTAGAGCGCTTGCCTTGCATGCCTGAGGCCCTGGGTTCAATTCCTCAGCACCACATAAGCAAAAAGAAAAAAGCCAGAAGTGGCGCTGTGGCTCAAGTGGTAGAGCACTAGCCTTGAGCCGAAGAGCTGAGGGACAGCGCCCAGGCCCAGAGTTCAGGCCCCACAACCGGACCCCCCCCCAAAAAAAGAGTGTCCCGGACTTTCTGCCCAGGCTGGCATCAAACCATGATCCACAGATCTCAGCCTCCTGAGTAGCTAGGATTACAGGCTTGAGCCACCAGAGCCTGGCTTGCTTGATAGCTTGCTCACTCGTCTCTTTCTTTCCTTCCTTCTTTCCTTCTTCCTTCTTCCCCCCCCTCATGTGTATGTGTGTGTGTGTGTGTGTGTGTGTGTGTGTGTGTGTGTGTGTGTGTGTGTGTGTTGGTTCCAGGGCTTGAACTCAGACCAGAGCCTCACATTTTCACTCAGCCAGGTTGCAGCTGGTGCTCACCCATTTGAGCCATACCACCAGCTCAGCTTTTTTCTGGTTAATTAGAGAGAGAATCTCTCTGATTTTTCTGACCTTGCTGACTATGAGCTGCAATCTTCCAGTTTCAGTCTCTGACTAGCTAGGATTACAGGCATAAACCCAGCTTTTAACTTTAATCTTAAAGTCAGTTTAAGTCCCAATCTCAGCCCCTGAGAAACCCTAGCTGGTAACTCCCTCTACATAGGCGAAATGACTATGAACTTTGGTAAGAAAACAACAATGGGGTCTTCCTTGCCCACAGCCCTTGCACCATTAACCCTCACCACCCCTACCTCTTTTGGTCCCAGAACATACCTGCTCATTGACAGTCAGAGATGACTCAGACCCGGCTCCAGGATCCATGGTCACTGTAGGTTGGGGTGGGCACCAGCCCACACCTAGTGCATCCTGGGTAAGATGGAATTGGAAAGGCAAAGGCTGATGTGACACAGTAGTAATACAATTTCTAAAAGAGTTAGAAATAGTATGGTAGGAAGACAGAGAAGAGAAATGCTCTCAAGTTTCTGGACAAGTAAAGGGAACAGGAGTCTTTTTCTTTCTTTCTTCTTCCTTTCTTTTATTTTTTGGTACTAGAGTTTGAGTTCTTGCTTAGTTTTTTCTGCTTAAATTTCTACCCCTTGAGCCACTCCTCCACTTCCAGCTTTTTGGTGGTTTATTGGGGATAAGAGTCTCAGAGCCAGGTGTTGTTGGCTTACGCCTATAATCCTAGCTACTCAGGAGGCTGAGATTGGAGGATTATGGTTCAAATACAGCCGGGTGAGTCTCTCCAATTAGCCAGATGAAAGCCAAGAGTGGAGGTATGGCTCAAGTGGTAGAGCACCAGTCTTGAGTGAAAAAGCCAAGTGCAAGGCCCTGAGTTCAATACTCAGTACTCTCTCTCTCTCTCTCTCTCTCTCACACACACACACACACACACACACATTAAAAAAAAGTCAAATTTGTTTGCCTGAGCGGGCTTTGAACTCAGATCCCAGCCTCTTGAGTAGCTAGGATTACAGGTGTGAGCCACTAAAAAAAACTTTAGTTTCACTTCCACAGCATGCCAGGCAAATAAATCCACACTCAGGTGGAACCAAGGGTGATCAGAGCCAGACATCTGTCCCAATTTCTCCAATCTAATGGGAGACAGTACACCAAGCAGAACCCAGAGTGAATCTGACAAACACTTGGAACCTCAGATAAGGTAAACAGTACTCTGGGTTATCAGAGTACTTTCTTAGAAATCTGGGCAGGCTTCCCAGAAGAGATGGTAAAAACATTAACCTATGGTCTCAAGCTTTAATATGCATGATTGTTACTTAGTCAACTTACTAAAAAAACGAAGATCTTTAGCAAGTCCCTTCCCCCAACAGGCCTTGGGGTTCTACATAATCAGCTCTTAGATAATCCTGTGGCAGTGGCCCAAGGACCAGAGTAACATGCACATTGGAGGTTGAACATCTCCAATAGTGGACCAGCCTGCTATAATCAATGAGAAGTGACCGAACCCTGTGAAGACAGGTTGTCTGTTTGGAGCCACAAATCAGAATCACAAAAACTAGAGAAAATAATAATAACGGGAGCAAAGAGGTTTTCACATGCATACAGAAAAGAAAGTAATTAGCATTTCATTTGAGAATTGACTATGGACTATTTTATATAATACTAATGGATGTATCACTCAACTCTGGAGGTAAGTGGTACATAGTAGGGGTTGGAGACATTGTTATAACTTTGTTAACAGTTGAGCAAACTAAAGCCAGAATGTTCTGGATTCCTCATCTTCCTATTCTTTTTCTTCCTCGGAGGTTGTTTTTTGTTTATTTGTTTTGTTTGTTTTTGGTACCAGTACTGGGGCTTAAACTCAGGGTCTAAGTACTGCCCCCTAGTTTTTTTGCTCAAAGCTGGTGCTCTACCACTTGAGTTACAGCTCCACTTCTGGCTTTTTGGTGGTTAAATGGGATTAAGAGTCTCACGAACTCTGATGTAAAAAAATTTTTTTAGCTGGGCACCAGTGTGTGTGTGTGTGTGTGTGTGTGTGTGTGTACTGAGTTGTGAACTCAGGGCCTTGCACTTGGCTAAGTCCTAGCTACTCAGGAGGCTGAAATCTAAGGATTGTAGTTTGAAGTCAGAATGACAGAGAAAGTCTGTGAGACTCTTATCTCCAATTATCCATCAAAAGCCAGTGGTTCAAGTGGTAGAATACAGCCTTAAAGAAAAAAAGCTCAGGGACAGTATCCAGGACCTGAGTTCAAGCCCCAGTAACTGCACCAAAACAAAACAAAACTTGTTCCCAATAGACTGTAAATTTCAAGACAGCAGGGACCTTGTGGAGTTAGTACCCTCTCCTCCCTCATAGCTAGAATTATAAAGAAATGTACCACTTGATAGGCCACTTATAGTGATTAAATCTGTTTTCATGTTCACAATGCAAACTTCAGACAGAAGAGGCTTCTATTTGAATTGTTCAGATAGGGCCTTTGGTGGGTATTTTTGTTGAGCCTAGGAAGGAAGGAATTAAGCTGTAGAGAACACAGACAAGGAAGATCCAATCACAGAAACAGCACCCTAGTCTCTGCCTGCAGACTCAGGCTACCAAGATAAGGAGGAGAGGGATACAACCACGTGGGCTGGGGCCCGGCCCTCTACTTTGCAAAGGAGGCATCTCCAGGAGCAGACTAGGCCAGGATCTCTGCTCAGAGACTCTGGTTTGTGGCCCAGTTAAGCTTCTTGAGGGCTTTTTATTTCCCTGGCGCAGCGGCCTAGGCTGTTCGGTAGAGGTTAATAGGCTTCAGACCCCAGCCCAGAGGGAGATCTCAAAGCTCAAGTGAAGGTCAGAAGCCCTTTCTCCCTCCCGGACCCCCTTGGCCCTGCCAGGTGTGAATGACCAGGGAGAAGTGATTGAGCCCATTTTGCGACTAGTATTAATAATAATATTGTGATGCAATATTTATGAGGTGCTCAGGTTCTGGGCACCCAGGTCTCTAACCCGGGAGTCCGGCCCGTCCTCGGGGAGCAAGGTGGTGACAGGTGGCCCCGGCTGACTCCGGGTGGCGGCAGTCACCGGGAATCCAGACATCCGGGTTGTCCTGGGGAGACAGGATCTGCTCACGATCGCCATGGGGGGGGAAGTGTCTGTGGATAGAGCCCCCCTCCCCTGTGATCTGTACCCCACTAGGGCTCCAGGGGCAGAAACGGGGAGGGGCCTGGGCCAGGTTCCCTGGCCGCGTCCACCTGGCGGCCGCCCCGCCCTCCAGCCCGAGCTCAGCCGGGCG